CTTCTCAGGGCCCCAAAACTACAACAGAGGACATGAAGGCAAGGGCGATCCAAGATGCTGGATGCATTAGTTTAGCAAAGGCTCTGGCCCAGCTCAAGCAGCTCCAGTCCGTGACTTTGAATTTGAGATCCAACTCCATCGGTGATGAAGGCTGCGCAGCTTTGGCAGAAGTGCTTCGGCACTCGCCGCAGCTCACCGCCATGAACTTGCACCTCGATGACAACCGGATCAACAACACAGGGTGCCTCGTTTGGGCGGTGAACTTGCGTGAAATGCAGCACCTCACCAGCATGAGGGTTAGCTTCCGGGGGAACCAGGAAATCAGCGGTGAGGCCTGGGCGGTCTGGCTGGAGGCAGTGGGAAATCTGAGGAGGCTAAGGAACGTCACCCTGGTGAGTCTTCGGCGGCGCACGATCGAAGCTTCACCCAAGGCTTTGAAAGGAGTGGTAGGTCATCTTCGCGAGCTTTACCTGGCCAGTGCATCAAGGCACCGCAAGGCCGGAGCTTCACTGTGCAGTACATTGGCCGGAGCACTCAGCCAGCTGCAGCAGCTGAGATCTATAGGTCTGGATGTTGCCGATAACTTCGTGGACGACTTGGGGTGCACTGCTCTGGCAGATGCGCTCGGCAAGTTGCAGTGGCTCACAACCTTGAGCTTAGACATGAGCTGCAACTGTATCAGAGACGCAGGCTTCAGCGCTTTGAGCGCAGCACTTCGCCGGCTGAAGCCGTTGAAACATGTGACCTTGAACTTGAGGTCGAACTGCATGGGAGACGTCGTAGCAGAGTACCTAGTTTTTTTAAGCATTCGGGGGTCTTAGACTCCTTCAATATTACCAAAGGCTACCCTTTAGTTCCCCTGAGTAAGGAGACGCCGGATGCCGCGATCTGGCAAAGGTCCTAGGGCAGCTTCCCGAGCTTTCCTCCCTCTGCGTGGACATCGGATTCAACACGTGGCTGGGTTTCGGGACTTTGGGTTTGTTTTCCGGGCATTCAGGGTTTGAGGGGTGTTGGATCTTTTTCTTGCTAGGTGGCGCTGTGATGAACGTGTGATTCTCCATATTTTTCCATCATGAGGCATACCCTAAACCCTAAACCCAAAACCCTAATGACTCACAGCTGACGCAAGCGGCAACTCAGGTGGAGGAAGGACATAGCACTGACTGCCTGGACACAGACGCTCCCGCAGTTGCGGGACCTCGCCTTTTTGGGTCTGGATATGGAGAAGCGGTCGAAGAGCCGGCACCTCCTCCTCCAGCGGGAGGTTAGGTAGTATTATTAGGGGTAC